AACAGGAGAAGGTGATGGACTCACGCATACCGGTCCTGAAGACCAGGGCTAATATTCCCAGCTCGTACAGATTACCCATGTCGCCACAGTCCTACAGTGAAGCTGTGCAAAGTCAGCCAAGTGGATGTGGCTCCACCCCTGTTAACACGACTAGGTTAACAGATCCGAGTGGGAAAATTGCACTAAGTGAGAACTTCATAACACCCATCCCCATGGTAGACCATGAAACAAATAGGAAGGCCAAAAAGAAACGTTCACGACGTCGCAAGACGACAAGAACGCTCCCCAAGAAGACAGACGACTGCAAGGTCTGTGCTTCTGTTGTCGAACAAGCAGACTCTGCTTTCGAATGTAACTTTTGCAACCGATGGGTGCATTGCAGATGCGACAGTGGGGTACCAAAAGCATATTATGACTTTATGCGTAAAAACCCATGCCAATGGTTCTGGTACATATGCCCGAGTTGCCGTCCTGATGTAGCCTCGCGTAGTCCTTTGAAAACTAAAGATGGCACAGAAGTAGCGGGGAAAAAGGTGAAAAGCTCGACCCCCACCAATCCGGAAGTTAGTACAAACGCGCGTAAACCGGGGATACCAAAATCCTCACCGGTTAAACTTGTAACTCTTGCCATAACCGCTCCAGACACAGAGGCTGGAGAACCACGGGTTTCCGTCGTTGGAAAAAGACCCCAACCGTCTATCAGTAATGCTGGCTATAGCACTGAGACACATAAAAATACCCAGTCGCACCAGTCAAACCAAAACGGTCTTAAAGGTGATCACAAACGTGCGAGGACCGAGCCCAAGCCCACGGTTAGCAGATCAAATTGTGTAATCCTCTTTAATGTACCAGACTGTAGCAGTAGTCTGCTGAAAGATAGGGCCCTATTTGATCAGGAACAGTGGTCCATCTTGAGTAGCACACTGGGTTTGGACATCCAACCAGTAAATCTATGCAGATTGTATAGGGGCACTGCTGCACCTGAAGGCAAACCATCCCCACTGAGGGTAACATTGGGCTCTACCGAGGATGTTGAAAAAGTGTTACTGGCTTCTCAAGTCCTTTCTATAGGGAGGGCCTGTAACATACGTGTTAAGCCAGACAGGCCGTGGAAGGAAAGACAAATGGCGAGGGAGTCGCCAGAGCTCATTCCTTCTGCCTCCATGGTTGTGCATGGCATTCCCGAACTGGTAACTGGGAACGCCTGCGAAAAGCATTGTCATGATGTACAACAATGGAGATGGTTAGCATCCCAGATGGCCCTGGGAAGTTCAGGGGCTGTCTCTATTTATAGACTGCCTCGACCCACTCATCTTATGTCAATTAACTCGCCACGTCTGTTAGCTGTCAAGTTCAGCTCCCAAGACCAGTTGACTACCGCTCTCCATAGATGGTACGAGACCAAGGACAAGGTCAGCAAACACATTCGCTGCTGCGAGAGCCGGCCTCGCACTCAAAGGAGAGAACAAAGCGTAGTAAAAAAAATCCTCAACCCCTAGTCACACTACAGCGGTGCAGCACGGACGATGATAGCCAGTGTCATCCGAGTGCTCCAACTGAACTAGAAGAAAAAAACGCCAACAGGCCGGTTCCTGGGGAATCGGCCAACTAGTTCGTAGGATAACTCCTCAACCGATAGCCAATATCAAGTCAACTACCCCCCAATACGGGGAAGTGGTGAGACTGACTACCAGTTGCCTGTATAGTAATGTGAGAGGGCTAAGAGGCAAAATAGCTGAACTTAGACACCTACAATCACAACTAAACTCCAAAATCATAATACTGACGGAAACCTGGCTAACCCCTACGGTGGCAGACAGCGAAGTCAGTATAAATGATATGGTCCTAGTCAGGCGAGATAGGGACCTGAAAGAAGGAGGTGGAGTCGCCATATACGTCGACAAACAGCTCAGATGTGTTCACGCGATGGACCCTCCCCTCACAGAGCTCCCTGACTCCATATGGTGCCACTTCACCGTTGGGTACTGCAAATATCTAGTGGGCAGCATTTATCGATCACCTTCATGTGGAGCAGACCACAACCAGGTACTGCTAAATACAATCTCAGCAACTCAAGACATGGGTTATGATCAAATTGTCATAGCTGGTGACTTCAATGCCCCATCTCTTAACTTGGTGTCGGGAAAAGCCCATGATAGATTTGATCGAAATCTGCTGCATACCATCAGGAAGGCTGGATTCACTGAAAATGTCAAGATGGATACTAGATGGGGCCCTGATGGGAAGTCTTCTAGACTGGATTACGTGCTCACTAGTGACCAGCTACTAGTGGAAAACGTTCAGATCACGACTCCCATAGGTAGTAGTGACCACGCGGTCATAGTATTCGACATAGTCCTCCGCGAGCGCTTACAGTGGGACAATACACAGCCCTATCTGTGTTATAACAAAGCCAACTTTACCAAAATGCGAAGACTTCTGTCTGAAGCAAATTGGCCTAAAAAATGGACAGAGCTAACAGTAGAAGAACACTGGAGAGTGGTAAAGGAGATCATTCACCAGGCGGTCTCAGACACTGTTCCTTTAGTCTCACCAAAAGCTAGGAAGCAACGATCATGGCTGAAAAGGGGGACACAACGCCTTCTGCAGGCAAAGCGAAAAGCCTGGTTCGCGTGGCGACGATCGAAGAGTCAACCCGAATATGAAGTGTACCTTGAACTCAGGAATCGATGTAACATACGAGTCCGGAGCGATAGAAGGACATTTCAGGGAGACCTCGCCAATAAGCTTCTCGTGAACCCCAAAAGCCTATACAGGTTTATGGCCGAAAGAAAACCGACCAACCAGGGAGCATGCAATCTAGTGGGTTCTGATGGGAAATCTCTTACTAGTCTTGAAATGGCAGAGACATTCAGCCTAGCCTTTCACAGGCAACTAAATAGTAACGAGGATATTACCCCTACAGAACATCCAGATTACATCGCAAAACCAACACACGAAAACCTGCTGGGGACATTTCAAATTACCCCGGCTATGGTACTTGCAAAATTGGGAAGGTTGGCTTCGGGAAAGTCTCCAGGTTGTGATGGCATCAGACCATCTGTCCTGAAGCAGTGTTCAGAAAGTCTCTGTCAACCCCTAAGTGATCTGTTCCAACACTCCCTTGATGTAGGGAAACTTCCATGTGAATGGAAACGTGCAATCCTATCCCCTATCTTCAAGGGTGGTGACCGGCAGAATGTGACCAGTTACAGACCAGTTGCTCTACTTCCAGTGGTATCGAAGATATTGGAAAGTCTCATTGACGACCACATGAGAAAATACTTCGATGGGACTAACCTTCTTCACGAAGCACAGCACGGTTTCAGGAGGGGAAGATCCTGCGTGACGAATCTTCTACTAGCCTGGAACGATTGGACACTATCCTGGGACAAAAAGGTACCAGCCCACGTGATCTTTCTCGACTTTGCGAAAGCATTCGACACAGTTCACCATGGTCTGCTCCTTCACAAAATAGGCAAGGCGGGAGTTTCTGGAGCACTTCTCGCATGGCTGAAAGATTACTTAGGCGAGAGAGAATTCTGCACCAAAGTCAACCGCATCCGATCATCCTGGCACACCTCGGCATCAGGGGTTCCTCAGGGTTCTATCCTAGGGCCGTTGATGTTTTTGATTTTTATCAATGACCTGCCCCCCCAACTAAACTGCTCTGCGCTTCTTTACGCTGACGACGTAAAGATTTGGAGAGCAATAAACTCATCGGAAGACTCAGATAGATTGCAGGCTGACCTGCAAACTCTGGGAAATTGGGCTTTGGCTAACGGAATGCCTTTCAATCTAAAGAAGTGCAAAGTAGTGCAGCTTCATTCCGGCAGGTCACAGAGTGTAAATTACACCCTTGGTGGCCAGAACTTGAGTTGTGTTCCATCAGAGCGTGATCTAGGTCTTATTCTAACAGAAAAGCTAGACACCAGTGGAAATTACTCGAGGGACGTCGCCAAAGCCTACGCAACATTACACTTTATGCACAGGCAGCTGGGAGCTCTCACTCCCGAACTGTTCTTAAGGCTATACAAGGCATATGTGAGGCCACACCTTGAGGTGCATAATATCATTGCACCTCCGCTACTCAAAAGGGATGCTAACATTCTAGAAAGTGTCCAGAGACGAGCGACAAAATGGGTGATCGGCCTCCGCAACAAATCATATGAGGAAAGACTAAAGAAATTAGGTCTTTTCACACTTAGTTACCGTAGGCACAGGGGAGACCTCATCACCGTCTACAAGATCCTAAATGACCAGGCCCACCCAAATAAAAGCATCCTGCCATTAAGCGATTATAGGCTTCCACGAGGTAACCCGCTAAGGATAGCACACCAGAGACCAAAGACTCGAGTGCGATCACATTTCTTTTCGCTTCGTGTTTGCCGTCTCTGGAACGCTTTACCGGCGGCCGTGACTACAGCGCCATCTCTGGAGATTTTTAAGCGGAAGCTAGACAATCATGCAGAAATGCAAGGTTTGTGTCTCAATGGCTTATCCTCATAAAATTTGAAACCACACTGTCAATGGATAAGCGTACAAACTAAATCCCCACGACCTATTCTGCCTTCTCTCACTCTATCTTTTCCTTAGGTCACCTTTATTATTCCACTTATCTCAACCTATATTATCTACACTACAACCTATTATTATTATTATTATATTATTACTATTCTGCTTTTATGACTACACCGAATGACCAACGGGAGTTAGGTCAAACTCCATTCACGGCAGCAATACAGTCCTAACATACTGCATACTACAAACCACATCTCGACCAATCCCCGCACCACTCCTCCTGGAGTCTACCAGAGCTAAAGCAGTCGAGTGTCGGGACTTACTACGCAGAAGCTCACCGAAGATCTGGAACCTCTACCTCACAATCAAGAAGCGAGCTCAAAGAAATCACTGGTTTATACTAGCTCGTAATCAGGATATTGGATATTGGATATATTGGAAGGTCGTTGTCATGACAACGTAGCAAAAGGGTACCATCACACTTTTGAATGTTTTGTGGTGTTTGTCATGATTTTTTTAAAATAGGTAAACGGCTTTGGTAGGGAAGGCTTGCTTATACACACGACTGATTACGGCCTAATATTTAATCACGTTCATGTTTGATAACGTCGCAGATATATAACAGAGGTCGACAAGAATTAAGTCCCTTGGACTATATATATATATCATTGTTAACGAAAACACGGAGTAATAGGCCACTTTTCTTTGAGTTACTGCCTTTTTCAAGTATATGCTTTCAGCAGCATAATGAAAATATATTTATAACAGGCGAAATAAATTTGACTGCTTTAGACATTTTGTAGTAATTTATTGTACTTGGAATATTAGTATTTCGAGATGACGGAATTACAAGAATCCAAACAAAACACAGAGAGGGCAGAACTCAGGAATTTGTATTTGGCGGAATTATTATGCAATTCATATAAGAAACATATCAACCGTCAACAGTAAGTATTTAAACAATACAGAGATAGAAATTGTCAATCACCACATCCGCCACACCTCGAATGTCTCCTTGCGTATTTATAACGGTGTCTCGGTTTGCTTGCAAGTAGCTTCGACCTAACTGATTCTGTGATATTATTTTAATCAGTATTATCTGGACCTATTTCTGAATTATCTACAAAATCAGGATTATTAGCGGAATCAATAATATTATAATTCGAACGACCTACTTCATTTATTGTCACTTTGTCCAGGTGTCTGTTATGAACTGGGTGATCTTTGATGTCTAATATCTTCACCACTCGATTTCCCATTTTTTGTAGTATAGTTCCAACAGAAGGTCTATAGTTATTACCTTTGTAATAATGTACATTAGAAGTAGTGGACATCAGATGCTTTTTGAGAATTCGAGATTTGAAACGTTTTGCAGGACTTTCACGGGTACTTGTATGCTCTGCATTCGACAGACGCAGTCTATGCATATGCAGTAATTCCTCAATTTTAATCAGTTGCTCTCTCATCTCATTCAGTTTTTTTCCGTGTTTTCGACAGTTCGCACTGTAACTCAGCTACCTCATTTTTGAAAACAGTTGATACTTGAGTTGCCGAACTTGTAGTGGAGGTTTTCATCGGATTAGCTTGAGTATTTTGAAAGGTTGAAAGACACATTGACTCCATTTTACTAGACAGCTTGGGAGAATTATAAGAATGTTGAGCAACATAAGTATTCGAACTTCTGCAAACCATCTTGATGTGTCCAACTTTACCACATTTGTGACACTTAGCACCCCGAAAACGGCAAGTGCTTCGTAGATGTAACTTTCCACAGGAAAAACACGGTTTAATGTTTTTGATCTCTGGCTGCATTCTGTTACCTGTGGACGGCAGTTTGGATTGCTTTCCATGACCACTTGTATTTTCGACTTTAGAAAGCATGATATCAGATACTGACGTAGTGGGAGCAGAGTATTCATTATTGACATCTTCATATGTCATACATAAATCTTTAGCAGTTTGAAAGGCACAAGAAGGAATCTGAATTAACTCTTTCTCTAATTTAGGAATATTGATTCCAGCAATAGACGATCACGTAGTTGAGTATGCAGCTGATCTCCAAAGTTACACTTTGAAGCTTGTATTTGGAGTTGCAGAATAAAGTCTCGAATCTTCTGGTTGGGAGCACGAACCAGTTTATTGAACTGAGCCCTCTCTCTGGTCTCAAATGTAGTTACATGAAAGTGATTTATCAGAAGTTCACGAATCTTGTCATATGACAGAGAAATAGGTTTATCTGGAAACGCCAGAGTCTTTACTAGGCTATATGCACCTAGCCCAATAGCAGTGATGAAATGTGCTGGTATTTTGTCATCCCGAACATTCTTTGAAATGCACCATGCATCGAAGCATTCAAGATAATCAGCAATTTCCCGCGGTGAACCATTTATTGGGAATTTTCCAAGGTTATTTAGTTCCATCGCGACGCCAATTTGTAGTAATTTATTGTAATCGTAGTATTAGTATTTCGAGATGACGGAATTACAAGAATCCAAACAAAACACAGAGAGGGCAGAACTCAGGAATTTGTATTTAGCGGAATTATTATGCAATTCATATAAGAAACATATCAACAATCAACAGTAAGTATTTAAACAATACAGAGATAGAAATTGTCAATCACCACACATTTTTATCCTCACAATCTATCGCATTTTCGACACTGTGTTCACGGTAATTTGCAAAATTGCATGCAAACCACATCAATCTCACTTTTGTCATAATTAGGCGTTTTCAGTACGTTCCGAGCATACACAAATGCGGTAATCCTTGCAGTCACTTGAATATTTGTCTACATATTATGGAGAGGATAAGATAAATCCTGATGTCTCATAGTAACCATATACTGTTAGTAACATTATGCCATGTAACTTGCAGTTGGTACAGCCAGTCAACTCTAATTAACGTCTTTGTAAGCTTGTATTTAACTTTGTTTGAAATACTGTCGTTTGGTTTTAGACAGCCTGCATCTGCATTTACACGCCATCTACACACAATTTTAAAATGGCTATCTTTCTGTATAATCAGTATAATTACGTAACACTTGCTAAATCCATAGATGATGACCATAAAACGTAACCAAATATATTGAGTTTACTAGAAGCATGGGAACCTTTGGATTCTGTTTTTATGGTTAGAATTTAAACATTCGTTAGGACTGATGAAGGAGAAATTATTATTTCTATAATAAAAAGCGCACAGAGTAATCCTTCATCAGCATGCCCTCTTGTGTGCATGTTCTTTGTGGCAGCTTTCAAGACTACAGTCGACACAAAAACTGTTTCCTATCCTGAGGTTGTTTCTCCAACATGTATATTTAGGAATAACAAGGTATGTGATCAGTGGCGGCTACTCAAGTGAAACTAAAACTGTGAAGTGTATAATATTAGTAAGGTCAAAAACGATTTTATTTGAATTCACTGAAATGTTTTACTTTTTCAGTAGTATAGCAGAAATAAGCTGAAAGCAGCAGAATAATAACATCATGGATAAGTAGGCGTAAAAAGCACGAAGATACTTAAATGAATCCATTAGGGCAGAGGTAGTATTTGTTTGAGTAAAGCGAATCAAGAGGAGCAACTAGCAGAGACTATTTATAATATCTAACTGGCAGTTACTCTTAAATGGTCCAGAGTAAACGGTTAATAAATTTCTCTGCGTCTGTTTCGCACTTTCCCCACTTTCTGATTGGACCTATCATTCGTCTGACACTCCTCTGCACTGTGATATTACTGACTATGAAATCCAAAGTCACGGCCTTGTTTTTGCCACAGCCAGGAAAGAAGATAATTATTTTTCCTGAAATCCTCAGAGCAGCTATAATTTTTAAATAAACTTTCTTGTAAATCCTGCTTATAAGCTGAGAGAGACGTCTGTTTTTCTCTTACTGTTTATAAAAGTATGTCTGAATGTGCAGTGACACTTCACGATAATTTTGTGCTTCATCTCGGCGTAAGATAAAAGCAGTGTACTTTTGATTTTGCTGTCGCTCCATATTCCTACAAAGACTGAATAAGGCTCCAGAAAGAGGAATCTAAGAAGAGGAGACACATTTAAGGCATTAGTGAGAGTGTATTGGCCATATATTCAGCCTCCTACGGGTACTGGAACGCAGAAATAATTAACGGGGTCCAATACTTAACATATTTCCTGATTCCGATTGCAAAATGCTGTGCTAATGTCTAGTTGAGAAGATGCTATCAGGAAAGTATGTTGTGTTGATCAAGGCACTTTGTTCAGAATCATACGACCACGTAAAAATTTATGAATAAGTGCCATTTTAAATGATGAAAACCAGTGATGTCCATCAGGAATATACAGTGTCTCATCTCTTATCTAGTCCCACTGTGTATATTATTAATATACTTGGCATAGTTAACCTTGAAACAAAGACTGGTTGAATTTTACCAGGACAATCTGACTGATTTAGAGTAAAAAACTTTATATTTTTAGCTGAAGACGTACAGATAGTGCATTTTTCTGAATATCTTAAGACAGGATCTTAGTTTGTCTGAGATACGTTTAGCTCCTGTCAGGATTGGTCTACGTCGAATTTTAGTTGAAAAAGATGCGTCGTTCCTGGTTGCTGATGAAGTCTTGGGGTGGGTATATGCCAGCCTGTTTCATCCCTAACTACCAGTCAAATGAAATGAAGTTATGAGAAAGGAAAATGTCAAAGGTTTCTCGCTTTGGTTAGGGTTGTCTTCGGTCGCTTTTCGTGGTGCTAGATAGAAAGTAATAATGAGATGAAGCATTCCATTAAGTAATCATGGAGGTCCATCGTTGAGGTTGGGGAATCACACTGACCGAGGTGGCTAGGATATGTGTCAAGTCATTGTCTTTCTTGATAAGCAGAGGCTGCTGAAATATTCTTGGATTGAAGAAGAAACTATTGTGGTCAGGACAAAACATGGCATCAATCCATTTGTGCACTAGCTATTGGTTTGAGCTGCATATAGATGTTTAGACTTCCTGGCTGTCGTTCACAGGATGTTGACAAGTTGAGGACTTTTGGTGATATGCCTACAACTGTGTTCAATGACTCAAATGTTTTTAAATTTTTTTGTGATAATCCAGATTCTGAAAAATTCACTGGTCTCCATCCAATTATTCTCTACAGCATACACATTCCTCCACTGTGGTTCAACCATATTCAGTTGTTTCACTTGTCAAAGTGTGGCAACATGTACCTATATACCTTCACGCAGCGTCCTAAACTGAAAATAAAATTAGATATGAAAAATGAAGATGTAGGGGGTAAAATTAGGTAAACAAAACAGATAAATAGTCATGTAAGAGTTGTGTTTTAAATAAAAAGACACATCCAAATATACCATAAATTACACGATCTACACATGCTCTTTTTTCCTTCACGTTCCCCAGTGGAACATAGGGCTCCAAGCTAGTGGCTTGAAGTTTCTGTAGGAGTGCATATTATACAGGATGGGGTTGCTAGCCTCGTGCCCAACCTTTCCACTTTACCAGCATTATTTCTGGATTAGCGAGGTAAAGGAGTTCGTCGGCCGGGGATCGATCCACGGACCATGTGCATGGTCGGTGATTGTCCTAACCGCTGCGCCACCGACGCAAACACATGCTTTTGCCACTCATAAACAGTTTGAAAACTAAGTTGTTATTATGGGTATATTTGAGTCCTAAATCCCATAGATATCATTACAAGTGCTGTGGCATTCTGTATATAATTTCTCTATACACTAATATATATGTAATTATCCGGATAAAATAGTCAGGAAATATGTAAGGAAATGTAAAAATAAAATAAATAATGACAGTAGCAATAGTAATAATAATAATGATAACAATAATAATGATAATAATAGTAATGACGACACCAACAATAAGGAATCTAAGTCGTCAGCAGTAATTCCATACAAGAAAGGAACCTCGGAAGCCTAACGCAGAATTCTTAACAAGGCGGGAATAAAAGTGGCATTCAAATCCACAAACTCAATTAGAAACAAACTTTGTCGGTTAAAAGATCAGTCCTGTGGAGCCTTTAAAACAAAACAATTTAGTTTATCTAATACCCTGCCTGCGATGATTGTCAGGCCAAATACATAGGTCAAACTAGTAGAACAGGGACAGTCAGACTAGCTGAACATAAAAAGTTAACAAAATTTAGATTGGTTGACCCAAATAAGATAAGAAATCTACAGAATAGTTCAGCTATAGCACTACATGCAGTCACACACAACCATACAATAGGATGGGATAGGATGACAGTCTTCAAATCTAATGTCACAGGATGGAGGGAGAGATTGATAACAGAAGCTTTGTTTATCGAATCATCTGCAAATACATGTAACAGGAATGATTCAACACCTGTCCAGCCAGATATCTGGAAAATTCTACTAACCCTACGACAAATAGGAGAGGACAAAGAAAACTATAAAACTCAAGTTTCAAAGTCGTGTGATTACAATTGATGTGATTATGAACAGCAATAAATTTTAATCGAAACTTTGTTATCCAGTAAATAATACTGTTTCACTGTGTGATGCATCTAATAAACAAACTAATATGGAATTCTCCATACACTGTTGACCAGTTTATGCAGGTGAAACGTCTAGCAGTTAAGGCATTTCCTGAAGATATTTGGAAAATTTTCTCAATATTAGTTCAGCAATGCATTTAAAAATGCACTAGAACCTCACAGATTCTAAAAATTTACTTCATATAATGGTTTCTAGAGTAATATGTATTCTAAAAACAATATCATGATTCGTGTTATACTGTAGTAGTATTAGTTGTTGGATTTTGAGCACTGTAGTTCGACTCCTGTCTTCCCTAAGTTCCCAAATACATTGATATCACTGTTAGGTATTTAGAACCCCAGGTATACTCGTGAAATTTTTGTTAGCACTCACCTTTAATACACTGTTTGCTTTTTCCTTTTTATTCAGGATTCTTCTTCATTAGCGGAATTTAGCCCGACATCTGACAGTGATTGTTAGTTTCATTTCTTTAAATTTCTTTAAGCTACCCTTTTTGAATAATTTTTAATCCTTATTTCAGCATAAGAGCCAAGAATTTTTAAGTGTTTATGCATGACTTTTAATGGTACGGATAAGCTATTAGTCTACACGAGGTAAAATGATGTGAAATAAGATACATTTATTGTCAAATCATTGGGAGTAAACTCATCTCATTATCTTGAGATACCTTAGATGATATTTATCTTAATATTCTCATATTACCTGTCTTTTTTTGCAGGAACGTATATTTAGATAGTTTTGTATGGGTTATTGACAAACTGAACAATATTTTTTCTCATAAAGCAAAAATTTCGTTTCTGTTGCTAATTCTTTTATTAAATGGTATTTAGAAAGAAAACAGACAAATAACCGCTTGGATTATTTATACACCAGCTGTTTGTGCTCTCATTTGTATGGCTTTTCACGTGACAGCCGAATAGATACATCTGACATTGTTGGCTAAATCCAAAAGAAAAACACTTTTACGTATAACAGAGATATTTCCTCAAGTAATGACGAATGATGACTCCATTTATAGCGTTTTGAAAAAGAAGTACACTGTCGACAAGATTAAAGAGGTATGAAGTCATTTTTCCTCTTAAATCAATGAATCTAGGCACTCGAATTTCTTGATAAAAACCCATTAATACCACCAAAGTGGTTCATCGGCAGTGCAGAGGCAAAAAACCTTGGCTTAGATTTACTAAATGATGTTTACAAGCTTTCAAGAAGAAGACGTATTAAAGAACATACAAAAATGGCGGTGAAAGTCATTGTGGACAAAGATGAAATTCGTGATGTTCAGTCCAAGAGCACTATGATTCGAACGCCATACATTCAAGAAGAAGACAAATCAAATTATTGGATTCCTATTGATGTGTTGAGCACAATTTCAAAAAATGAGAAAGAAAATTGCACGAATTCTGGCAGATGACTTTGTTTTTCTCTTTTTTTTTGCATTTAATTAATACTTTTTTCACGGCTAATAACTTTTATCATTCCATCTGTTGAATATCTTAAATATATCTCCGATGCAAAATATCTACTACTTCTGTTTTTAAGTCTTTTAATAGTGTTCACAACCTTTATCTTTTGAACAGGTTAAATTACTTTATTATTATCATTGTTAGATGTCCAGATTTTACAGATATATGTTGTTGTAATGAGTGTTTAGTGTTTTCGTTATCTATGCTGATAAGAATTAGCCTTCAATCAGGACAGTGTAGCCAATTAATCATTAGGGAATATTTCCCAAACTGAGTAAACACACAGAAGTCAGGTTTAACTGAGATTACTTTGACAAAAACTTGATTGCTCACAATACAGAGTAAATTATTCTTTACACATCAACAGAAATTTAAACCATAAATAATCAATATCTAATTGAATGCATCGTCGGTGGCGTAGCAGTTAGGATGCTCACCGACCATGCACATGGTCCGGAGTTCGATCCCCGGCCGACGAACTCCTTTACCCCGCTAAGTCAAAAATAATGCTGGTAGAGGGGCAAGGCTGGTAATGAGGCTAGCAACCCCATCCTGTAAAATAAACACTTCTACAGAAACTTCAAGCCACTAGCTTGGAGCCTTATGTTCCACTGGGGAACGTGAAGGAAAAAAATTGAATGCATCAGTCATGAGTTTATGGCTAACACTGACAGTTAGTCCGTCCTACCACCTCCCCTTTTTAATAGATTTTCAACTGGAGGACCACTGGAAGATATTTTTAAGTCTGAATACTTTCCATGTTACCTGCCCCACGAAATACCGTGAGATCCTTGCTGGTTGTATGGTTGAATTTAGCAGCAAAATTAAGAATTTCATCACATTGTTCCTTAGTGAAGATCAACCATTTATAGCGAGTATTGAATAGTCATGCATTCTCCCCGAAAATTCTACAAAGAATTAGGATTGTATCGTCATAGTCTGTATCACGAAAAGGTATTTTTTAAGAACATGGTTTGTCAGTTGATTCAGTGACGGATAGATCTACATCATGATGATTGGTGATATGACATAAGTACTCAAAGTTTCTTGAGATGAAGTGAACATCGCAAGAGATTTCACCAACTAGGTGTAAAACATCTGTAGGGGACCGTCTAGCAAGCTCAATAACATAACAAGTGTGTGAATAAAAATCCAAGTTAATGATATGACAGTGTAACAATATATTATCAAAAATACAGTAATGAGTTATATTAGTTAAAAGGTTACTTGAATATGCTGTTAAAGTCCACTGCTACAAATTATTAATGTAATCCACAGAAGCGTTCACTGTTGGAATCGTGTCTACTGGTAGAAGCCGTGTGCAGGTTGTAGAGTTGTCTTCGGATAAGGATAATAGGTTCCTGCAATAAATCCAAAGTATACAACACAGTATGAGTAGAGCAAGTAGACAGTAATGACCAGTGAGAAGGCGAAGCTACCAACAGTACACTGTATTTCAGATTGTACTCGGAGATTACCTGTATTTCAAAATGAATCGGTTTAAGCAAAAGTCATGTGCAATATCTCTAATCTCAACATCTAACAAAAAGTGTACAATCATATTGTTACGTACTCCACACATCTCTAAAAGCATTTTTAGTAACATGGCATGTAGTGGAGACTGGAGAAAATTCTCCCTTCTTCTCTGAGATAGGGGAAACTGGAATGAAAATCTCTGAGTTTGCACTGATTATATCTGCTGACTCCACACAAACAGTGCCTTCACTAGATTTCGATGCAATAATGGAATCCTGATTTCCTATCTGAGTTTTAACATAAATTTTCACCCATTCATTGAAACCTGACTGTTCAAATAATGCATCAACTGATAAAGTCTTCATTGCTTTTGTGACTGATCAAATGACAGAATCAATAATCTCTGAGTATGAGGATGACTAAATAACTTCAAAAGTAACTTATCAGTAATCACTTCGATCAGTTTCAATTCGAAGTCTTCATAGAGCTTCTGTTGCCATTGCAACAGTAAATTAGCTCGCTGAAAACTGAAGGACATGATCAAACCACTCCGTTGACATTGACTAGATTCTGTACTGAATTATACTAGAATTTGGGTCTGTTCGTCATTCGCTTCTGAAGCTTGTGTTGAAAATAAATTCATTCTTTAAAATAGTGACTAAATTCGACTTTGTTACTACATATAGGTTCACTTATTATTTTTAAGTATGGTGATATTATTATTGCTTCCTTGGGTTCCTAGTGAACCATAGGGTTATAGTGGCGCATTAGCATTTGATTCTGTTCTCTGTAGTTGTCTTTAGCTAGCTCCACGATTATTCATAAGCTTTCATCTTCCACTCACACGATCTACTCCATGACACCCTTGGATGTCCAACACGCCTTCTATTCACGTTCCATTTAAATGCCTGACGTATACTTCCACTCAGAGGTCTCCTCAATGTATGCCCAATCCATCTCTATTTCCTTCTGCATAATTATTTTGCTATAGGTTCTTGGTTGGTTCGCTATCAAAGTACCTTGGTGACTGTACTTGCTGACTGGTTATCTGATCTTCAGAATGAAGAGAAGGCAACTAATGATGAAAGTATGAAATAGGCTGTTGGAGATGCTTTTGGTGACACGGGCATAAAGTTTCTGAACCATAGAGAAGCACTGACTGGACATTAATGTTAAAAATTCGAAGCTTGTTCTTTAGTTGGAGTGTATAATGCCTATCAAAAATTAAAATAAATTTTGGTGGGTTGCAACAATGAGTATTTGATTTTTACTTGAGCTTCTGACTTCCTGGTTTAAAAATTTGTTCCAATAAATATGAATTTAGATAAGTGCTGTATAAGCAGATAAATCATTTTGTTATCAAGGGGAATATATTCAGAGGAAGCAGACGAAGAATATATACGTATATATATATATAATTGGGGAATAAACGAGGACAGAAACACATTAAAAACATTTGTAAGTAATTATCCAACCTACTATAATAAAATTATTCAATCACTTTCTGGTTTTTATTTTATTTTTTTTATTTTTTATTTACAGCTTGATTCCACACTGTATTTTCGGTACAAGTATGGAATTTTCAGCATGGATATCGGTAGCCCAAATTTTGCAGGCCGACCATAGATATCAGATGTGCGTCGGTGCGGGCTGGAACCCCGGACCATGTGCATGGTCGGCGAGAGTCCTAACCACTGTGCCACCGACGCACAATAGCGTATTCGTAATAAAATTCCAAAACCCGCTGGAATCTGGTCCATCTTTGTTGCTGTTATCGTACACTAAGGAGGTAATATAAAAACAGAACTCATTTTTTTAATAGAGACGAAAATTAGTGTGCATTTATGAATATAATGTTCAAGAAAATTAAAAGATACCGATAAGTGTTATTCATTAGCTTTAAACCAACCAGGAGCCGGTCGCTCAAAATACATGTAGGAGAAAATGGAGACAGACTGAACATACGTTGAGACAACCGTCGAATGACATTATGCACCAGGCTGTCGATTGGGAAGTGAAAAGTGGTTCGTCAGTGCGAGGGTGATATGGAGGAGATTATGCTAGGAGGAGATGAGAATTATGGTCAGTTGTGGACACAGCTGAAGAGGACAGAAGAGAAGAGGGCAAAGTAGGAATGTGTTGTTGAAGCCTTATTTTCCACTCGGAATCCAAGGGAATAATAATAATCAGCTTTAAACGCTTTACGTCATTTGAGTAAAATTGTCAATGTAAGATACATCACTTATATAGGCTCTAAAAGTACAGTTTATGTGAAACGATGATAGTTCATATTCTTAGATAGATTTCAGTTAAAAGTGTCATATAATTACATCGGTCTTATTATTGTAAAGAGATACAATTAGTTGCCTAATAGTTCCTCACATGTTTCAATATCGTGCATTACATGTTGTTACATTTAAAGTACGTTTTGAATGACTTAACGGAAGATAACTATACTTTAACTGATCTGTGGTGGTTACAATCAGGATTACACAGTGGGACTAGATAACGAAAAAGGTCACAGAATGGTGACCCTTATGAATTTACTTATCAACAAGCTGAGCAGTAAGTTGTATTTGCTTTTTGTAGTTCCTTTACATTCCAGTGGAACATAGGGCTTCAAGCTACAGACCTGAAGTTTCGGTAGCAGTGGCGTTTATTTTTACAGGATTGGGCTGCTAGCCTCATGTCTAACCTTCCCTCTATACCAGTCTTATTACTGGCTTAGTGAGGGAATGGAGTGCATCAGCCGGGGGTCGAATCTGGAACCATCTACGTGGTTGGTGAGTATCCTACTAATATGTCATCGACGCATTAAGTGTATTCGTATTTGTAAGCCTCCTTAATTTTGAATAATTCTAGAGGTACAATGCAAAATTGAATACACACTTGCAAATTTGTTCAAGTAATTGTGATTAAAATGAAATTTCTTCAAAATTTTTAATTTTTATTCTCTCTCATTGTTTCCTTGTTTAAATGCATTACTTTTTGTACTTTAATCATTGAGACCTTTCAGATATTTTATGTTTAGATGATCAATTAGTATATTTGACTGTAAAGTAGGAAATTTTTTAAATAGGTTGTTATCAATGGATAAAAGTTTATACATAAACTCATCTGATAATTATATTGATTTTCTGTAGTTTAATTATGCATTTGTATTCAAAGGGTCTGTGGTTTCTCTGGTATTTGGTTATCACTTGTAGTTATCTATATTTTGATAATTTTGTCCACGAAAACCGCGTCTGTGGTATATCGGTTAGGATGCTCGTCGACCATGCACATGGACGGGGTTCGATCCCCGGCCACAGACGCACTCCTTTACCTCGCTAAGCCAAAAATAATGATGGTAAAGAGGAAAGGTTGGGCATGAGGCTAGCAACCCCATCCTGTAAAATTAAACACTGCTAGAGAAACCTCAAGCCACTAGTTTGAAGCCCTATGTTCCACTGGGGAACGTGAAGGAAAAAAATAAATAATAAATAATAATAAAACCAATGTATTTATTAGCTATTTATTCTTCTTTGTTATTTGCTTTTCAAACAGTTTGGTACTGTTTATTTGTGTAATGGTAGCAAGTATCCATAGTTACGTAGTCAGTCAAAGTCTTAATTAAACTTTTCAAGTTTTAAATTTTTATGCTCACTTCACACTTTAACCTTGTTTTACTTTTTCAC